ATTAGGGTTAAGCATTAGAGTTAGAGTTTTCATCACAAATTAATACCAGCAATAGTGCCAAAATGTTATTTAGTCATATGGATAGGTGAATTTTGCTCTAAAATCAAAATTCGGATATCTTAAACCTGATTGCCTTGTTCACAAACTATAATCTCATAGTATTTAGCCTCAGAAAAACATGTAGATTTCAACAACTTCCAATGAATACATGTAGTATTTGTACGAACTAATGATTACTTTGTACATGATTACTCGCTGATTACGAATTCCAAATATAATACGTCCGTTTGTGCTTATGTAGTTCCACTAGTCATACTTACTTACTTACGCATGTTACTCCTTTTCGAGGATCATAGGCCGCTCACCAGTACTCACCATCCAACCCTGTTCTGGGCAATCCTTTCCAATTCTTTGCAGTTGTTATTCATCCTTTTCATATCTGCTTCTATTTCCCAATGTAACGTGTTCTTTGGTCTTCGTCTTCTCTGTTTCTATTCAAGATTCCAAGTTAGTGTTTGTCTCGTGATGCAGTTTGGTGATTTCCGTAATGTATGTCTTATCCATTTTCATTGTCTTTTCTTAATTTCTTCTTCAGCTGGAAGCTGGTTTGTTCTCTTCCACAGTAGACTGTTGCTGATGGTATCCGGCCGATGGATCTTGCGTAGACAACAACTCCGCTCTTCTAGAGGTACTGCCGGTCCCAAGCCAGGGTAAAGGAACAGGGTTGAGCATGGGGAAAACTAACTCTCTAAAAAAACGCCAACCAGAAAAAATAATTCAAACCATTCCACTTGTCATAAGTTGCATTATATCGGGAATTCTTAGCTATCGGATTAATTCAAATACTTTTAATTATCATAATATATTACAATAAAAACTTGAAAGTAGTCTTCTGAAAATATCTGATAGGATTATTAGTAACTAATGTGAAGAAAAGTGAGCTGACTAAACCAAAGTCCCATCGATTGCATCCAATAATTGCATATTGATTGATGAAATTCGATAATCGCTAAGAACTAGATAAGAATACCGTTGGCTATTAAACGGTGATCAATTGGTGTAAACACCTTAGTCTTACAACAGGTCTGTCGTGACCTGAATAGTTTAGTTGCAATATGTCTGACTGTTGTATTAGGTGACATAAGTTTGGATCCGACAAGGAGTATCGATTTATTCAAGCCTTTAGAAACACCTTTCTGTCGAATTCTAACTAGTACGGAAGATAGTTTCAGAGATTCCAGTCGATTGTCTCTAATTACATAAGATCCGTATCAATTCTCAAAACTATAAGACATTGGTTTAGAATGCAAGAAGATTAACTTAAAATCTGTGTTGGGAACTCAAGTTTTGGTACTTCAGATTATTTTGTATGGTGTGGTTAAAGGTAATAGGCGGAACATTCGACTTCTTACAACCAATTAACGTCAAAATATGGTGCTCAAGACGTTCAGTCACTTAGACTAGTGGTTAGGTTACAAATTAATCGATAAGATTCAGTCAGAACCAAGGACTCAACTACTTAGTAATCAATGAACATAAACATTGAAATTTCTATGATAAGTAAACTTACTGAAAGCTACAAAGCTACACAAAATTGGAATACATCAGTTTCGAAAAGCCGACAGAGTTGATAAGAAATTAACCGTCAGAAAACTGGTTTACTTTGGACAATCAGTTAATTATAGATGGGTTACTCAATTTCCTAATGAAATCTATCCTATTTTTAAGCTTGTGAATGTTCCCATTGTTGCTATTAAGGTCTACAGTTAATCAGTCTATTTTAGCATATCAGAAGGGGTTTTGTGGAGATTTTAGTAATTTTAATAGTTGAGATCATGAGTGAGTTGAAGCTAGACCACCGTGGAAAACTCGAAGCCAGTACCTTTCGGTTCAAACACCTATCACATCATTCACTGATCTGTTGAGTTCAGATAACCAGTGTTTTGTGCAACAGATATGTATTTTATTTGTAACTGTATGAATCTTGAAACAAAAGGTACTATGTTCAAATCGCCGAGTGTACATAAAGACGGGAATAAGGGTACATTCCATTCAAGACTCCCGACTAAGATGAAGCGTATATTCTGTTGGATGCTAATCAATCTTGACAAAAAAACACTCACTTATAAATGTATTTACTAAGATTTATGAAATATAATACGTTGTGAAAGATGGATAGTGGCCAGCAGTGGAATCCAGGACGCGTGTTTCGTCCTATTTAAGGCTCGTCAGTTGGATGTACCTGTACATATGCCAACATGAGATTGATCAATCGCAGTCTTAAATAACAATGGAAAGATACAAGTAAAAAAAGCACCAAGTGAATATAATACGTTGTTGTTTGGTATTTTAATCATATAATCACGAGAGTAATTATCTGGTCTTCTGTTGTTCAAATTGAAGGTTTGGAAATTTCTATAACCTATTGATCGTACGACAAGTCATGATAGAAGTATAGAGCATATAACACTCAAAATACTAACGATCGTGAATGTATATTCAGATTAAGTATCAAGTAAAATCATCATTCAAGTCTATCTTTCTGTGAAATCTAGTTAAAAAAGAATAGTGTAGAACATGAATGTACTAATCCATTTATTTCATCACAATTGAAATCAAAGCACATACTACAAAATCTGTGATATGACAAAATCAAACAAGAGGGATTAGTTAGTCACTATGCATAGTCGATCAGTAAATATGTATTCAAATGGTAAGTTATTGATTAACTAGTGTTAAATACCATTCAATTTATATGATACAGAAATCTAAATGTTAATCTGATAGCAAAACTAATTAATCATATAAATTTTGATGTATCCATGTAGTCACAATTGATTGATCACTGGGTGCTGATCAATATCATGTGTGTCAAGTTCTTATTTAGTGCAGATCGAATGCTATCGACCAACACGAGATCGAATCCGCCAAGGAGCACCAGTTCCCTCAAGATTACAGGTACATCTTGCTGATGAGTGCCAAGTAGCACGAAACCCGAGTCTAGGGTTTCCTGTCGACTACCACCAACCACCATCGTATCCATGTAGTGTTTTGATTTATTTTCTAAGTCAAATAAATTCATAACAGTAGTTTTTTGTGTTTTCACTAAGCACGACAGATATAACAACAGGTTACTAAGATATATATGGAAACCAGTCACAAAACTAGTGTTCCCCCACCCCGTTTATAAATTAGTTCTATTTTATAGGTAGTAACTGTTGGGATATTCAAGAAAATATCCCAAGAAATTATCCTGTTAAGTCTAATGCTATTCTTGGACTTGAGATGGTATCATTTTCCTATTGGTCAATACTTATTTCACGTGCCAAATGTTGTTTTCTATTTTATGGTACGATGTGGTCTGCTTGATTGGTATATAAACAGAGTATGCTTGAAATACAATGATTCATATCTTAGAGGCTGAGACTTGCGTTCTGGACTCAACTGGCTGGGCTAGACAGGGAAGCGGGATCAATCAGGACTCTAGATCGTTCGTACGTGTCATTGATCCGATCGATAATACGCTGCACTCTAATCTGCAGTCCACAAGTCACAACAGTAACTAGAGTTGAAACATCAATCCAAACTTCTAAATCCTTTCATAAAATCTTCTTACTTCAAATATACCATTTTATCGCATTATCGAGCGGTAGCTTAGTGTATGCAATACATGAATTAACTTGCTTCATTTTCCAATTAACTTAGATTGTTTGCCTTGTACTTAACAACTCATCTTAATAGTTCCTCTTTTGATAATGGTGTAGTGAAGGAGCACACAAGTGAGGACAACCGAATGTACTTACCACAAAATTACAGAGTTACTTGGTAAAATAGAAAAACCATGTAGTAAATCGTTAATTTGCAAAATATCATTCCATCATATCAAACCGGACTGTTGCCGTTGCAAACATCAATCCATTGTCTCACATTTCATTGTTCATATGTTTTCTTACAAATCGCCTTGTGTTGCCGCTCTTCCTTTCTTGATATTCCCTCATCTTCTGCTACCATATATTGCGTTTTTAACTCGCGTCATATACTACTTACATCAATATAAGTAGCACGCACCATAATGGTACTAAGATAAAAATGTTTTGGTTTAAATTATTATTGATAGTTTGAAACCATCTTTAGTTGTATGCTCTAGGCATAAAGACTGTTTGTTATGATCTCAAATTTCTGTATGATAAGACTGATAAGCAAAATATATAATTTTCAATTAGTGAACTAACAGTTTACATCTATATACATTTACTTTGAACAATTGGATAATATTACCAGTATTCATATAGACAATTATGATTGAAACAACCGAATACATAAATCATTATTATACACTGGATTATTCTTTGGTACATTCTATGATTTCCGCTTTTGATATTTCCCACTTGCCCCTAAATGCCATGGTACGGCCGAGAGTGGGGAGAGTCAGCTCTCTCTCTCTCTCGAAATGCTCTGACATGGCCACGTGCATACAACCACTGACAGGCAAGTCCTACTCACTGCCTTCTCACGGTGAGCGTGTTGTTTACGAAATTGAGAGGACGAAAAGCGAATGTCCGGCGCTTTAACCAGCTTGGTGGATATAAAGGATTCACCTAGGAGGACTGGAAAACACTTATTCTAAACTAATGGTTCACATGGGCTTTATGATCCTGATGGAACAAATAGTGTATGAACCAAGTGTTGGTCATCAGCTACCATGAGAATGCATCTTCTGACGTTGCTCCACTACCTTGTGGATCAGACCTTCAGGTTGAAGGCTCCGGATGTGACCCCTAAAAGAAAACCATCTGCTTCGGTTTGGGAGTTCGAGTAGTATCACACCTTACACACTTGTGTGGTTCATATGTATCCGATGCCCCTTTGTACCAAAATTTATGTGTTCAAATAAATAAATAAATAAAATAACCATCTCTAGAAGATTTCCAGATGATGAAATAAACTTGATAACATCATATTGGTTCTTTAAATAGTCTTTAAGATAAAGAAACCGAATAGAATTGGGAAATCAGTGTATTTTAATAATAATAATATGTACACATACATTAGGTGTTAATTAGTTAATAACAAGAGGTTCAAATATCAAGTTCATTTGTATTTTGTTGTTTTTCTATTTGTATACTCATCATATCAATTGTATCATCATGATCATCATCATCTTCTTCTTCTTCTGCTTCACCTTCATCAACAAGTTGATTTGCTTTAGATTTGTTACCAAGAGAACAATATTGTGAAATATCTAAAATAAAACGTTCACCAGTTGGTGGACAATGAATTTCACCGGATTGAATGAACTCATCTGTAGAAGGATTTTTTTCGCAACAAAAAAAGAAAGAAAACACATACAGTAATGATATGAATGTTTTACAGAAACACAAGTGAAGTATATATATGTATACATATTTACAAAATTAGGATAGTGTTATGTTGTTATATTTAGTCGTCGCTGATTGCTGTGCTGGAAAAAAAACACTGATCACTTATACTCGGAAGGACGGACCTCGGTAATCCCCACGATGTGAAAGTAAGAACACAAGACTGGTATAAGTGGAGATTTATTAGCACCAAAACACTATGACGACGACGACGACGAATCCTAATAGTTTAAAATACACTGGTTTATATATTGATTGTACATCTATCTTGATTAATAATTAGGATTAGATCACATACTCACATACTCGATCAATATGCGCACACAGTTTTACTACCAAGACTGCATCGGAGATTTTAACGCTTACAAAGCGGAATAATAGCAATCATAATTCATGTAAGAGATTAGAGGTTGTTGTATTTCATAACTTTAAGGCATCATTCAACTCGATTAACCAAGAGGTTTACTGACAATGTTTGTAATTGAAAAAAGTATTAAAGAAATATATAGACACTTTATAGACTCTCCTATCTGAAAATTACTAATTGGGTTGGAGTTAATATTGAATTGTCACTGGGATCGTTCACAGGTAGATAAAGACTATTTGAACGAAGTGTGCGCAACGACTGCGTCCGGTAGAGTTAAGAATTATGCATCATGGTTTAGAATCAGTCACAAACACATGGATGTATTCACTCCTTATCTTATTCTAGATCTTGAGTCCCAACATTCCTTCACATTTAGATTTTCATTCTATCTTCTCCAACCATATTCTCTCTGTTTTATCTTTTTTTATTATCACTACTTTAATCCCTTTGTTATTCATTTTGTCATGTAGTATGACGACTGAGCTCAACATACATTTGTGCCAAGTATTACATTGATTATAAGTGATTGGCTGACAGTTCATGGATGTTTATAAGAGGTTATATAGGTCCAGATAACAATATGTAAATGATAACTTAAAATAGCTCATCAATACTTGCATCTCATCCATCATATCATGTAGCCTTGACATACCACATAGCTTGCTTGATTTTATTCGGGATATATCCATGCAGTTCTGATGTTAAAAACTGAAGTGAAACTAAGAACTTTCGTCTAAATTTGAACAAATAGTTTCACAATATTTGGGCGCCGAGTTAATTTGAGAAAGCTTGGACCAGATTGCCAGACGAAACGTTGGATTTACTTAAAATTCACTCGCTGAGATTTTACAAATATATTCTTCTTTTAATGAAGTGAAACTGTTGTTAAATATGTCTTTAAGGAATCTGGGAAGTGAAATGGCTAAAATAATTATATGGATTCATAATAATTTGTTCATCTCTCTTAGTATTGAGTCTTTTTAATCGAAATAGTGAGTTTAATTTAAACAAAAGACAATGTTTATTTCATTGTATTGATTTCATGCTGTGAAGTAGTCAATTACAAGGTAAACTAGAAAGTGGAACGTATATACCGCACCACATATCACATTCAACACTTTTAACCATTAGTTACAATAATAGCGCAGAGTTCAACCAGATAGTTTAAGCCTATCAACACAACTCTGTTCAATGATCAATGACTTCATGAACTTCATACCACATTTTACTTTACTCGCCACTAGCTTTCCTTCAATCTACTTTTACACCAGTAAACGTAGCATGTCGAAGTAGGCAGTGGTTGACGATACTTCAGTTGATGAAGGTTCATTATTTACTTCATTAGCCGAACAAATCTTGAACTAGGCCAAAATAGATGTTTATTATTTACCAACATTCATTGTCTTTAATAAGTAGTAATATTATGAAATCTATTAAATGACTCATGAAACTAGACATTTGGATATGAGAAATGTGCACAATACAGATAAATCTCTTGATGATGAATCCCACTCTTTGTGATCTCCAAAATTTTAATCTCCTGAATTCTTCATATTTATTATTTATTTATTTAAACACATAAACATTGGTACAAGGAGGCACCAAATACATATGCGCCACATAAATCATTCGATTTGTATGAGGGCTGGAATACTGCCCGGGTGCCCAGACCGAAGCAGGTGGTTTTCTTAGGGGGCCACACCCCAAGCCTTTGACCTAAAGGTCTGATCCACAAGGCAATGGAGCATTGTGAGGAGATGCAGTCCCATGGTAGCCGGTGACCAACGATTGGTTCATACGCCATTTGTTCCTTTAGGATACTGGAGCCCATATGCACCATTGGTTAAGGATACGGTTAAAGCGCCGGACATTCGCTTCTCGTCCTCTCAATTTCGTAAACAACACCCCCGCCACGAGAAGGCAGTGATCAAGCAAGACTTTAAACAATTAAATTTATCTTTTTACATCGAATACAAAACGTAAGATAAAACAATATAATCTATTCATCTCTTACTTATAATTCTAGATGACTTTTGTGATTCAATACATTCCAAATAACTACGTAAATTCTCTTCTAGTCGATTAAAATCCCATGAGAGCTAGAAGAATTAATACAAGATTTAAAGAAGTAGACTATTGATATTCAAAGAAATGAAACATATAAAGTAATGAAATCCAGTACTCAGAATGTCAGTCAGTCAGTAACAACGTAGAACTTTGTACGTATGTACATCAGTTCGAGTTGCCATATCACATTAGCACAGTCAGAATGTGTAAATCATCAATAACAAAAATACATAAACCTCTTTGTAAACTCTACAAGAATGTATACAAGATTTGTCCAATAATTACAGAGACTAACCTTTAACAGTTGTTAATGGATGTTAGAAAAATACTCAAGAAATTCTCTAAACCTAAAGATCCTCATTTTGATTTCAGATAAGGTCGTAGGTGCCCAATGCCTAGGAGCCTCGCACTACGACAAAACACCTGAGTAGTGCTTTCTGGATTTCAATAGTACTTTATAGTACATTCTCGTGAAATAAAAAGTGTGGAATAATATTGAAACTCTTGATGGATAGACAAAAAGAGACAAATTACCTGTTACATAACACGCTACAACCAACTGTGAACCACATCGCCTAAGGGTTTCTAACTATTTTTTTTCCAATAGATCAGAACTCACATGGTTTCATATCAGGAGTCAATAAAATTCATAGACTGATCACATTAGCTTCGTTTGGCCGCGCCTGGCTTTTTTCAACCTATTCATTACAGTATAGTTGACATTATGTGTAGACATAGGCTGACATTAGATAAATGCAACACATAATTTAGCTTCATCCGTTAATGAAGATTCATAACTTGATGAAAATTAATATCCATGCAATAGTGCACATCCTCGGTTGGTGTTGATCTCACATAACTATAGAATGAATGATATGACATCATAGGGGACTGTTATGTGAGTTTGAAAAAATGATTTTTTAATAATGATGATAATAATAATATAATGAAATAGGTTAATACCTGACCCAAAATTATATCCAGTAATCCAATTTCAGGAACACCATCAATGGAGGTTGATTCCAGTTGAATACTATTCGAATGGATTGACATCAGTTTCATCATATCTTCACCAAATCTACCTAAATACATACATATACATGAATAAAGATTTTTCTTTAATAAGACAGTCAACTTATTGAAGGCTTGACAACAAGCAAAAACTTTCCTTGATTGAAAATGGTAACTGCCTAAATCAAAGTAGAGTGGGGTTGGAAACTGAAGAGTAGTGGCTGAAAGTCAAATATCATAACCACTGGATCACCGATGTTAAAATGTATTGTGCCAAAGAGGCAGGTGTAGTGATCAGTCAGTGATCTCGAGTGTTGTTAAGGATATGAGGGCGAATGTTACTACCCGGTCGCCAAAATCGCGGAGGAATACATCCTCTTGAGTTACCTTGAGAGGGAAACTGAATTAGTTGTGGTCTTGATGATTTAAGAGAGTAACTGTTAAGCCAAAGAGACAACTGCTTAATGCAGATCACATATGGAATTTTGAGAGAGGTTCATGATACGTTAATTCCACATTTTAAAAGCCTTAAAACACGCGAAGGATATCTGTGACGCAAGGTGAGATATGACAACGCTGACCTCTCCTAACCCATTCATGCCATTGTGTTAAGGTGGCGTTGTTATGGATGCTAATTATATGAAGGAAACACCATACTGTTGTCACATCCTTGTACGGTCAGCAATAAGACTTCGTCTCCGGACCTAATGTTTGGTGCTTTTAGCCTTGCCGCTATTCAATCGACCTGTCAGTTATGGTTGGGCCCAAACAAACAAATATTTCAGCCAATAAAACTTGATATGTTCATCATGATAGGTAAGCCCCACTACTTCGTAAGTCAAGGTGGCAGCTACGGTTGAGATACAACGATGCAGGATATCTCAACAAGGTAAATTTATGTCGGAATCTTTCCACCAAATATTCACTTATTTATCATCATCATCCAGCAGTAAAGTCAATGTTCACTCAACAAGCAAGTTTCACGTACTACAGTTAAGAATACAAGTTAGTGCAATCATCGGTATTTCAGTTTAAATCTAATCAATAAACCGATACACCATTTTCAGGGGACATTCATTCCTTTTCTAAAATATCCATGCAAAATCAACATATCACTGGTGATAGTGATTCGTAGTATGTATGATAAACTTGTTGGCCATAATAAAATGGATATATGACAGCTTCCAGCTGATCGATCAATTCAATACTTTATGCACGCTATGAGTGAGAAGATAGTCATCGTAGAGTGAAGAGATAAGCAGGATGTGACGAGTATGTGGAACGATCAGGCGAGTGTTTGATAAAATGTGGTAAAACTGAAGTGGAATTGATGCGGACTGATTGGATGACTGGATGGAAGGACAGATGGAAATGGAAATAATTGATGTGTGTATCATATTGGGATAATGACTGGATTGAGTGTAATAAAGTTAAGGACAATGTGAATAAGTGTATTGTGTGTGCAAGGGAGGATATAGAGAATGAGAGAGCAATGAAGAGGGAGCCGCTATCTGCCAAATTGGTGCCGAGTCAATGTGGTCGCAGTCGGCTGGACAAGGCTTGGGAGTTTTCCTCTACCCAGTCGACGTGGGCGGGCCCAGTCCACCAGCCAGCTATTAACATCCTCACCACTGGTGGCCGAATGCGCTACCTACTGCGCCGAATACTATGTTGGCCTGGCTGCATACACATACTAACATATACTGCACATCACCAACTCATAACCCGTATACATCCAACACAGGTAATAAGACACAACCGGGATTCGAAATCACTTTGAGCTATCTGATGTTGCCGAGCTGCTTAGAAATTTCATTGCTGAAGGATTTCCTTCTTCTTAAGTAAGGACTTGGTAGAATACTACGCTAGGCTTTACTTTCGACCCTACCAAACCAATTACCTTGGTAAATACACATAAACTTATACAAGCAATTGGAAGTAATTTCATTGAAACCATGAACCGATCAATGTTAGACCACCACTATACTGGGGTGAAACGGCCGTCCAGTGTTTTCAGGTTCTCAATGGTGGTCTAGCATTGACTGATTCTTGATGCCAATGAAATTCAATAATCTCAACATCATCATCATCATCATCATGAAAACTGGAAGTAAGATAAGAAAGATATTTAACGATATTCGAGTGCTCAAAGGAACATATTGTTATTCACACTACGACTAAATTGGCTGAAAGATATGCTCTTGTTAACGATGCCTATGTTTAGCCTTCTTTTAACTGTCAATGGAGAATAATACCCCAGTTAACTTGTCATTCATGTTCTTTTCAGGAAAACAACTGTGGTTTAACTAAACTCACAGATTGAGTAAAGTCGATCGATAAGTTTGTTCCCCAATAGTTATCCACTTTTAATTGATAAAATATAATTAATAATAGATTGCAATGTTGGTAATAGCTCTTCATTTTGTTTGCAAATATATCACCCTCAATCCTTTTCCATCTTCATTCCTTTTGTGCATTAATTATACTACTTACTAATATTCAGTAACTCAGGCAATTGTTATTCATTTTTGAACACAGAACCTATCTCAATGTTGTTGGGTAAAAGTAAACTAGATACTGACAATCTTGAAGTGAGTTATCAGACAATCAGGAAACAGTGTTTATTTATAAAACATCGGTGAAAAGCGATAAAATCACAGTGGGATAATACCTTTGACCTAATTAATCGGATTATTCTTTACAGGGGAAAACGTTCTCATTTCAATTTGTTAGTTCATATTGTTGGGTTGACAAAGCTACCTAATTTGTCGTACGTTTTTTTCAGAAATAATTATAACGTAATCAATGTAGGAAGTACCTCTTCTCTGATTGAATCTTGACACATATGAGTACCTCACAGACCTCATGAATTGAGGTTTGTAAAATACATTTACTTATATTGCCAAAAGTAATAGTATCTTATTGCGTTTTGAATTCAGGATTTTAAGAGCTACTCAGTTGTTTGGTGAGACGATAATTTATGGGCGAACAAATCAGATTTAAGACAGGTGCTTAATTTTGGCGAGAAATTTACCCATCCATGTGGTTAAGTAGCATTTTGGAATTACTGCTGATGTCAGTTTGTGACAATGAACCTAACTCTAATTCTTAACACTAACGTCCAACTCTACAAATCCTAATCTTAATTCTTCACACTAATTTAAAACCCTCATTTAACATTAGTAAGTAACTGGACATTCTTAAGGTCGCCAGGAAATTATAGTGTCACCTATTATTCCAAAAGATATTATTCAAACAATACTGCTATATATTACTTGTTCAACCTACACAAATCCGTGTCGGGTAGAGACAAGTATATACCTCAATAAAATGGAAAATGGTCGCGCGATTTCGTGAACTGGTTGAGGTTAGACATTAACACCGTTGGATGCCGGCCACCTCAGTGGTCTAGAGGTTGAGCGTTTGCACGCGAAACCGACAAGTCCCAGGTTCCAATCCCACGAACGGGATCGTGGATGCGCACTGCTGAGGAGTCCCACAGTAGGACGAAACGGCCGTCCAGTGCTTCCAGGTTTCCATTGGTGGTCTAACATCAATCGGTTCATGATCTCAATTAAAACTACATAGATCCATCAAGAAGCTTGATAATACAATACAACAAACAGTGAAAACTGTTTAAAAACAACATCATATTTGAAATTATGTCACAAGAAAGATGAAAATTCTTACCATTTTTTATTGTCGGTAATCTTTCTTTTAAAATATGTCGTAATTTTGTCACCTGACTTTCCCAACTTTGATGAGCGACAACAGTATCATATTCACCCCAATGGTAGTGACCTTGACTTATACGTTGGATAAGTGCTGATCCACCAGCATCATAAGCACCAGCAGTTAAATATGCCTCACGATCATCTGAATTCTGATAATAGTAGTAACAGTAATAATAATAATTGTGTACAATTAAAAATTATGTATTTAGTCGAGAAACAAGATGACACTGTCAATTTATAAATGATGTTTCATAACAATTTGAGATTTTTTTGAGTAATCATTGAAAAAGAATAGGATAAACAGCATTAGACTCCTGTTTCTTTCTAATATAGGACATTCATGACTTTGTCAGTTTATGATGTGAACTACAGATATTACAACAATATGATTGGTGAAGTAATCAAACAATGAAATGGAATGATGTAAATAACAAACAAACAAAATAGAAGGGTATTAACCACTAAAATGGATTGGAAAAGATAATCGTGGAACTGACCTACTAACATAATATCCGGTAAAAGAAGTGACAGTAATTATGTAATATAATGATAGTGTATGCAGTGAATGTGATGGTACAAACTCTATTTCATTTATTTATTTAAACACGTAAACGTTGGTACAAGAAAGTACCAAATATTTATGCGCCACACTTCGTTATTCGACTTGTGTAAGGGTTGAAATATTGCTCGGGAGCCCAAACCGAAACTGGTGGTTTTCTTAGGGGGTCACACACCCGGAGCCTTTCATCCAGAGGTCTAATCCACAAGTCAGTTGAGCAACGTTAGGAGATGCAGTCCCATGGTAGCCGATCACCAAAAATAAGTTTATACGCCATTTGTTCCCTCAGGATTCTGAAGACCATGTGCAAAATAGGTTCGGAGTCAGTGTTTTCCAACCCCCCTAGGTGAGTCCATCAACCAGGTTAGATCTCCGGATATTCGCTTTTTTTCCTCTCAATTTTGTAAACAACACCCTCACCACGAGAAGGCACTGAGCAGGACTTCCCTAGGAGTGACTGTATACGAGTGGCCATGTGAGAGGACCTCGAGAGGAAGAGCTGATTCTCCCCACGGTCGGAGGTATCAGGATATTTAGGGGCTCTAGTTGAGATCAAATACAAGATTGTTACTAGCCAAGAGAGTAGATTATTCAACAAATAAACGATTGGAGCACAAAGCAACCATAATTAGTTCAACCTCCAACTAAATTAACACCTAACTAACAAACTTAGTTCATACCCCCCCCCGGTTTTTATCAACACAAAAGTTACTTTTATATGTGAGTTTCTCCTTTAACTTACTTGACATATGACCAATACTCGACGAGCAGGCATAAAATCTAATATATTTGGTAGAACGAGATTACTTTCAAATTTTGGTATGAACCTTGTCTTCTTCTTTGTACACATATTGAGCGTAACCTGTGTGTGTGAACCCCATGAAATACAGAAAACAATACAACCATAAAATTCACAACTTTAAATGGGTAAACTTATTGGATCGTTACTGTATAATAAGGAAGTAATGTAACTCAGTTACCAAAGGTAGAGGTTTCGTAAGGTATAACTAACTTTGAATTATGATATTTACATGTGATCACATCTAGAGTGATATGAATTGGTTGCTTAAACACTGATGTATGTGGAATGTAGATTCGCACCTACCTAATAAAACTGATGTTGAAGGATGAGTTGACTTAAGCACTTATCTACCATCATACCATGAATAGTGAGAGTAAAAATAGAACTATATTAAAGGTCTACATATATTTTTAAATTGGGTACACAGTTTATGCTCATTCGGGATATTTTAACAACATGCCAACCTATGAAGTTCACAAAAGATGCTGATTATAGAAAGTGAATTCGATTAGGAAAACATAGTCCTATTGAGAAAACGATGATATTCCAAAATACAGCTGCCTCTAGTTCCAATGACTATTATTGTGAGAACAATGATGGAACACATAAATGCCCAATAAATAAGCGAGCGATTCTTATAAGGTTGTTCATGAAACTAGGGAAAAACGGTCAGGAAATTTTTGAAATGTTTACGATTGTATATGCAGATAACATGCAGAAGAAAACGACTCTCTTCAAGTAAATCTTTGTCAAGGAGACCTAATTGATAAAGTATTCCTCGAATAATAAAGGGGAGAAAACCATGATTATTATAAACATTCTTAGCATGCATTAATTCATTCATTTATTGTGTTTTCATGGTCTGTGATTATTATTACTTCCTACTTATAAATACTAATCCAATTAACAGCTTTTTTGACATCCAAAGTTCTAGCTTGTGTAACATTTTTAAATCCTAAATAGTCTCGTAGGCACTGGGGATTTGGTGTCTAACGAAATATTGCATAGATTTGCCTAGGTGAGACGTCCGTATGTAAACCAAAGAATTGATTTACAACCCACTCCGTTATACTCTATGAATGAGACATAGCCATTCAAAATGGGTGAAAGTAACAGTTCATCGATGCGTGATCACGGGTGCCTTCGAAACATTTCTCGTGTATTTCGGGAACATCGGGTAAGCAATGTCGAGGTTAAGCATAATGTACTAGGCAAATATGGTAAGTCGGTTGATGATGTAGTGAATCTTCACCAACTGGGGTGGTTAGAGCGTTTGTTAAGCATGCCAAACCGGTGTAGGATTACGCTGTAAGAAAGCTTAGGGAGGACAAAACAAGGAGAAGTATCAACCCATAAATTTAGTGACTACTAAACTGAGCCATGTTAACAGGTATAGACTACGTGTCTGGGGTCTGCGCGATTCTCATTGAGTGATGTGACTCAGAATCGTTCGCAATGAAACAGCTACATTAACTCTATGTCTACCCTTAGATTCCGAGTTGCGGAAATTTCTCATACTTCTTCTTTCTATAAGTAATATTTTTCACTGTTATTGATATCGGAAGTGTTAATACCACTTCTGATAATCTATTATTTATTTTGATAATTCCCCCTCTGTACTAATGTGGTGTAGCAACTGGAACTAATGCATACATATGCCATATTCTACGTTGTATATGACTGACTGAAGGAATTTCTAAAGCAGTTATTTATTGGTTCTGTAATATGGAATCATTTAGCGTTACCAGTGCAACTTTGAGTAGACAGTAAGTAACTTAACATAGAACTTTGAAAAGTTTTGCTATTGATGTATTGTTTGTTGAAAACTGAAATGGTGACTGGTTTACTAGGAGTGGAAACTTCAAAATAATTTGGAAAATAATCGGCTCCTTATAGAATAAAACGTGAGTACAAAAATACATATACCTCACAGAAAGACAAAAATTGTATGTACATATATCAGGATGAAAGAGTTCTAACACCGTACACTGAAGCCATTGAAGTACCTAGTTTTATATGTAATATAATGTATGTGGAAGTTACTAAGGTATAAACCTGATAGTATGATGAGAACTAAAAAAACCCTTGGTATTTCGCAGATTATGCAAGATGTGTTATGAAATAACGTGTAATGAAAAATTAGGACCCTTTAAATGAAATGATAACAATGAATATGTGATCATTGCTCTATAAAAAGACAAAACCACTCCCGCCAAAGTTTGTTTCCGTATAAATTATGCAAAAGATTGTAAGTCAATACTTCAGTGTAATCAAATTAAGTTCATTCAAACCCCAGGTACCTGTGTATGAGGTACACTTTAAGTGCAAGGGCTAATGACTCTACCCGGTTTCCCAGATCGAAGTCGATGGAGGGAAATTTGAACCTGTAACTTAGTGACAGACAGTCGAACACCCAAATCACTGAGTCACTATTCGGGATGAACTCAACAACAGACTTCTTATTAAATGTATAGACAGATTCGATTAATATAAAACATACATTCATATATTTATTAGTCAATCAGTTACAAGAAATTTTAAAACTCATTAAGACTTAATGAAAAGAAATTCACATTCTAAATTACACTAACATTTACAAGTGATTAGGTTAAAAAAGCTTCGCCTAACTACAGACTTTACTGATAAAATATGTTATGTGAAGAGAAGTATTTTTTTAATGGTTCAAATGATCTTGAAGGCCGGATGAGAAGTGAATTTAGGTTCAAAATAGCGGGACCTAGATAGTCTAGTTGAAACATTGGATACACAAAACCAGACAGTTTGTCGGTCTCTACGGCTACACTAACTAGTTAGCATTGTAGATGAAAATATGGTCTAGATGTTGAAATCCAAGCTATGAAGATAACTTGACATATACCTAGTCCCAAGTTTTAGTTTTGTAACACAATACGTGGTCTACGTACAATAATATTCATAGCTCTGAAAAGAATTCTGACGTAACTTAGAATACAGAAAGGTTGCAAAAACGTCATACCTTAACTCGAACTGGATTATCCATACAATCATACATATCCGGCTGGGCACTTTCACGCAGTAGCTCAACAGCTTCTGACAAACTGTATTTTTTCGGCTCAAATTCAGATATTAAGTAAGTATCGGAAGTTGGAATTCGACCTTTCAAAATATTTAATTGAGCCATTTCCCGCTCCCACTTCGTCCTATTTGTTTTCATCAATAGTTCACGAGCAGCATCTCGTCTACTCTTCGACTTTTCATTTACAGTTACTTTAGCCTCACGATATCTTTGCTGCTGGTGTTTGAATAATTGTGATGAAGTCGACAGATTGCGAAATGAACTGGAGATTAGAGTCGGTTGAATATGTGCATAACTGTAATAAATTACTTTGCGAAATTGCATTGAACCTTTTCTAGAAAATACACAGCATCAAGGATGATAGTAATTCACAAGAAACTGTTAGCCAAGAGAAAATTTATAATCCAGTGACTTGACAGTAATTTTCATTCAAAGCAGTCTAATGGTGGAGCTTCTTCTCTGTGCTATACATCTTCACCCCTCTATTAAAAACAGCCTAATCTATTGATGTTGTGAATTGTATACATGGATTAAGTAATTGATCAATTTATGCCACGTATTGTACATTCTAATTTATTCCAGTACTAATATTGACAAAATAAGTAAGGTAGACATAAACTCAGTCTACTTTTCAGATAGTTTCGATTTAATAGTGGTGTATATTGGTCTTTCTTTAATTATAACAAGTAACTAGCCTAGCGCTTTGCCCTAGTTACAAAAACCCAGTTCCTTTGATGTGCAAAATGATCGAACACAACTGACAAAACGAATGAACGGCAGCTGAGGATGATGCTCGAGTGAAGTAATGAAATGTTATAAAATTAAGGAAAAATAGATTGAATTCTATTTTTTGAAAGATCAGAGATGCTTTAATCCAGCCGATACAAGTTAGATACAAAAAATTATTCATAGGACACTACTAAGAGCTACAGAACGGTAAAAACAACTAGGAACAGTAGTCTCGAGAAGGCAATACACCGTAACGAACAGGGCAAATTAGCCGCTTCAGGCTCCAGTTACAAGGATAGTAGGTCGCTGAACCTATGTTGTTCCTTGAAGCTTATTTCCCAGTGAAGACCCGACTTGTTCTTAAAGATGCTCACTGATGGGGCCGAACTCACTTGTTTGTGTATGCCATTTCAGTTACTGGTCGTTCGATGAATCTCACACAGAATTCCATAGTTCAATGTCTTTGTCATGAGCTTGTATAAACCAATTGATTTCTTTGCTTTCATTTCTTTTTGTTTTGGTGCGGTTCAAGGTATTTGATTAAGTGCAACTGGGGGCAGTCTAAACACTTTACTGTGTTGATTTTAGTCAGTTCGTATAACTTGTAGTTTCAGTGAATGTTTTCAAATGGTTCAAATGGTTGTGAATGGAATAGAAGAAGCTTTCGCTCTGTACTTGGTCTAAGAGATCTCTTTGGAAGAGAGGGGGTGGATCGACGTTATTAACTTGTAAGTGGGGGCCATGGGTACGTTTCGAACGGTTTTAGGAACAAATCTATGATGATTGAGCCAAGTTGTTTTCCCATAATATCAAGTGTTGAGTTTGCTTTGGCTTCATCGACTCTCCGAGGTTGTAAGCCCAAAATCACTCTCTGAAGAGACGATCGAAAGCGGATTTCATTGAGGGTGTAATTGATTAGTTAAATAAGGCAGAATTCTCATGACACGACACTTCAGCAGGTTCAGTTGTAACCAATTGTTTACTGAATATTCATCGATCGTTTTAGTGGGCGTTTCGAAGCTCAAGTATATCCTCTTTGCCTTGTGTGAATCCTCAGATCTTTATATTGACTCCGTACGTCGTTGTCACCGAGCTAATTTTAAAGATCAAGAACAACAGTGGGTCTAAGTTTGTTCTTTGTGAAACTCCTGATGTTGGGACCTTCCGTTTACTTTGACATGAAACATCCCATTTTCTAGGTATTTTGTGAGCCTAAATAAACGCATCTTTGAGACATTTGCTATAAAAATTACATAAGATACTGTTTCAAGGGCCTTTTGCGAAATCGAGGACTATTACATGAATCGGTATCTCAAATTGCTTAGTGATAAATTTGCACCTGAAATGCCCTTATTTTTCTTATCTTCCAAAACAGAGGATTTACGAGGACACTCCAAAAAAGTTCACAAGCTCAGAACAAATTACTTGTCAGCTGACTATCGACTTTCCCATCGAGTCATCGAGCGGAATTCATTACCTCAGCACGTGGTTGAGGCTCCATCCGTCGACTCTTTCGAAAGAAAGTTGGATCAACTGAGAGATCACAATTGCCAGGACTAACACAGGCCATCAAGCCTCCTGTCCTTTCCAAACTTCAGTCTCCACCCCTCAGTAATCAGGACAGTAGGTTGGTGAACCTGTGTTAATCTTGAAAGATTTCCTATCAGTGAAGGTCCAGCTTCTCCTTGAAAATATTCACTGATAGGGCTGATACCACTTGTTCAAGTAAGGCGTTCCAATCACTGACTACCCGATGAGAAAAAAGAGACCCCACTTTAAGTTTCTTAGATCGCGGTTTATGAACCTTCTTGCTATGACCTCGGAGATTATTAGTGCTGTAGTGAACACAAAGATAAGACATATTAACACCTAAATCATAAGTAAAGATACGAGGTCACCTCGCATCCTGCGATACGACAAGGGGAAAAGGTTTAAGCATTTTAAACGCTCACCGCAAGGGAGTTTAGAAAGACCCTTCACTAATTTCGTTTCCACACGCTGGACACACTCAAGTGAGTTAGTATCCTTTACCAGACACGGGGTTGCGGCTTGGATACACTACTCTAAATGTGGTCTTGTAACAGCTTAAGAGTTGACCTCAAACAACCAGGCATATGCCAAAACAGTGTAGATCAAGTATTCATTCACTTCTTTATTTTGTTTAGGCGTTATATTTCCTATTATCTTATATTGAATGTTGGGAGGCTTTGTTTGTCTGAGCAAATAATCTCACGCTCCACTGTGACTACGCGAAGATCTAAATAAAGACCTATTCACTACTTGTCTGGTTTCTTCTATCAATAACACGAAGGTTACCTATAGGCACGAAAGTCCTACATAGGTGGGATATAAAATTCGAAACATTTCCTCGTCAGAAGAGTCGAACGCTCGGCGAAATGACCATAACGCACGAAAACCTTTGACAGCGACTGCGTTGCAATGCGTAGTTGTTTTTAAATCATGACTTATTACTACTCCTAAGTCTTTATGTTCTTGAGCACATGGAAGAGGTTTACCCTCAATAGTATAACGGTAACTATTACCGTGACCGATGTGCATTAGCACACTCTTCCTAGAATTGATTTCTAAGCCCCATCCTCGAGCTCATCTAACTAAGTCGTCTAAGTCAGCTTGAAGATCCAGATGATCAGCCTCACTTTCTATTGTTCTCCAGATTTTTAGGTCATCCGCAAACAATAATGTCGACGACCTAAGCAACAGCGGTAACTCATTAACGTAGAGAAGGAAGAGCAGAGGGCCTAGGATGGTGCCATGTGGTGCACCAATTTCGACTGGCTTCCAATCGGATAGCATTCCGGTGACCATCACTCTCTGTCTGCGGTCACATAAGAAGTTTCCTATCCACTTACGTACATTACCTATTATTCCGAAGCTCTTGGGCTTCTGCATCAGACCTACGTGTGAAACATTGTCAAATGCTTTGCTAAAATCTATGAATATCATACCGACAGACAGACCGTTATCCCGGGCTGCTGTCCAATCCTCCCTCGCAACAAGCAAGTTAGTCAAGCATGAACGCTTGTTACGAAATCCGTGTTGCTCAGGAGCTAACAGATAGTGTAAATCTATGTGGCTTAGCAACCTAACCCGAATTATCTTTTCAAGTAACCTAACGACTATGCTGGTTAGACTGACAGGTCAGTAGTTAGATACGATCTGTCTCTGATCATCCTCAAATATAAGACTGACTGTAGCATCTTTCCAATCTCTAGAGAGTTGAGTGAGGGAAAGTGACATGTTGAAGAGTGTTGCAAGCGGTTTTGAACTAATGTCCTCAAGAGATGACAGCAGCCGCGGATGTAACCCCTCAGAGCCCGGTATCTTACAAGGTTTGAGGTTAGTTATCAACGGAAGGACAGTTTCCTTAGTCACCTGTACAGATTCAATGACTGGTATCTCGGTGTGAGTGGGACAAGTATTTGTTACAATAAACGTAGAGTATACTTCGCTAAAATAGTCTGAAAAAGTCTTAGCTTTTGCCCAATCTGATTCAGCTAGTAAATCTGAGTTTTAGTGTAACAGTAACGGGAGAATACCATCATTACGTTTCATTCGCCGTTAAACATACGAAGACAGTCGTTTCGAACAAGTCCGGCCGTCATATACCAACTATCGTTCGTAAGTAGTACGGGATTTAGCTGTAGTTTTCTAACAGATATTACAGAATTTCCAGGACTGACGCTTAAATTATGCATGACCTGTCAACAAGAATAAGTCCCAGAGGTGTGCCCTACGCTTTAACAGATTCCGGGTTTCCTTATTAATCCATGGAGGGCAATGTGATAGCTTACGTGCTGACCATAGGATAAACGGCGACGTTACGGACTTGAATGTAGCCTTAAACATATTCCACTCATATTTGATCGATCCATCGGCGTCGACCGACCAGTTAGTCGAGATAGCACAGTTTCTGATTGTCGGAATATTAGCTCGCTAGATAGTAGGAGGGGGTGGAGCAGATACGAATCGTATACCATGTGTCCTAAACTCAAAGTGAGGTACAACGTGACCGCTGTTCACTAGTGGGGGAAGGTGCTGAATATCAAAGACATCCTCTCAGTCGTGGGTCAGGGCGAGGTCCAGCAGTGACGGATCATGATTGAAATCAATATGTGTCGGTTTTGTGATACATTGTACAAGTGCACACTGAATAACGGTAGATAAAAAGTCGCTATCGAAACCACTACCTGGAGCTGTAAGCTCTATCCAGTTGATATGCGGTGCATTGAAGTCCCCAATGATGAGACAACATTCTGCCATACTCCAAGAACAGATGTGTCTTAGGATAAAGTTGTCAGCAAGACAAAACGGACTACAGTATATTCCCCCTATAGTCACTAACCCATTTCTAGATTTAATCTTACAACATGCAACCTCACATGTGCCACTGATATGAGCCTCCGATATTGTTGATTGTATACGAAAGTGATCTCTAACGTATAATATTATACCCCCCTTTGCGACTTAAAACTCTATCACTTCTAATACAGATACAGCCTGCAATGATGGGAGAACAGTCTATATCACGGTGAACCAAGTTTCTGTAACAACGATTATACCGGGACAAAATTCTTCCACCATCAGACTTAGCTCGGACGTTGTATTTCTAAGACTACGAGCGTTTGTGTAGCACACACTTAGGGCGTTTTGGTAATCATTCGTTCTACCCATACAGGCCTCGGAAACGTTGACTTCCAAGACCTGACTATCCGAAAACCCTTAATGGTAAGGTTAGTTTCGCCATTTAACTCGCGAGTTCTCAACTCCCTAAGAGCATTCTTCCACTTGATTCGATCCTCAAGCGAATATTTGAATCACGAGTTTTGGGTGCGTTTTTCGATAATATATCTCCTTCTCTAAATTCCCGAGAACCAGTTTCAAGATTCTTCTTGGTTGGGTCTCGCCTCCAACCCATTTGCCGAGTCGTATTAATTTCGTGATATGTACCTCTTGAACCTCGTTAGGTAGTAGATTTCTTACCACGGATTCCACTAACTGTAGATCATGTGCATGTCTCTTAGCAGAGTCATTGTCTTTCGGCTCCTCTAGATTCTAAATAATTTAACTAGGAAGGAGTTTAGCTTCTTTTGAAATCGTGTTCACAGCTTTCAATCGT